TCAAGAGAAGCAAAAATTGGAAAAATCTATTTGAAATGCTGTTGGTTGTGATTTATTTTTGCAATATGCTTGCATTTAATTGTATTATCTTTCAATTTTTAAATATGTTGGATGACTAAAATATTATTTGAATGAATAAATCTTTTTTGTTTAAATGCACTAAAATACATTGCCTATATTCTCTGAGAAATTGATAAAAACGTATTTATTTTCAAATGCGGTGTACTCCTATATAGATATATCTCTTCAAACATATACAAACCTTATCAATCATCTATAATTTTTCTATACCACAACATACCAATTATTTCCCAGAGATTGGTTGCGGCTGGAAGGGAATCCGCTGCGTAAAACCTGCTGGATAAGTTGGTGGGTCATTCCGCTGTGGCGACCCCGGATAAATAAAGGGACTAAGCCGACAAGAAAATGAATGAATGAACATACCAATTCCTATACCATTTTTCTATAGTGGTGTGACATCACTGATTTAAAACAACTGTTAATAATTTAGCATGTGACAAAAATATATAGCGTGAGAGAGATTTGTCTTCATTTTTAGACATTTATCTTCATACAGTGCTGTGTCTTATATATTCATTTACGAACAAAAAATAATAATCTTTATGCTGTGTTGGTTTTGTTGTAGATTGTCAATAAATAGGGTTGTCATAACAAAGCACAACAAAAGTTAAGAATTGTAAAGTAGTTCTAAAAAAATTACATATGTAAAAACTTAACAGGTGAATGCAGGTTTCACAGGAGGCTTCAGTTTCATGGTCTTGAATGGTGTGATAATTAATAATATTCAATGGAACTGTTGATTTAACATTAGCATATAGTGTTAAACTAGAAGACAGAGCTTTCAGTGACAAAATGTATCAAAATCCTGTGGTTTTAAAAAGGTACAGGTAAAATATGTGTTTCCATTTACTAAAATACCCAATGTTAACTTAGTATTTATTAATTATGTTATGATTTTCTTTTTAATTCATAAGAGCTGTAATTTATTGATCTATGCTTGAGACAGTCTTGCTACAAGGACAGTTTTGAGATGTGGCTCAAAAAAGTAACAACATTTTTTAAAAGAAATAATAATAAATACATTTAAATAAATACATTTAAATAAATAAATAAATAAATAAATAAATAATAATAATAATAATAATAATAATAATAATAATAATAATAAAACAGCAATCATTTACTATAACAAGAGGGCCATGGCACAAAGCATTGTTGAACCATTTAAAGCATTTTGAATGATGGCAATAAATGCAATGTCATGTTAACAACACATATGTATATCCTATTTTATTTTATTTTTATTCTTTTTTGTTCAAGTTACAAAGTTCAAAAGCTGTAAACAGATTATAGGTGCACTTCTCAGGCTTCCTAATACTTCATTTGGGAGTGGGGCATAAAATAAGTCAGGCTTAATAATCATGTGAGAGGGGGGAAAAACATAGGGTTTTTTTTTGAGCCAAATATGTAAAACAATATGTGTGGCATGAATGTAACACTGCCCACACCTGAGAAACACACACCATACCTACAGTGAAGAATGGTAGCGGTAGCATCATGCTGTGAAACTGCTGTGGGCACTGAGTGTCTTGTTAAAATGTAAGGAAAAGAGGATGGGCTACGATACTGGGAAATTCTGCAAGGGAACCTGTTTCAGCATGCTAAAAATCCTTGGGAGAGAGTTAGTCTTTCAGCAAGATGAAAAGACCCAAAACATTAATTCAAAGTATGCTGTAATTTCAAAATAAAAAATATTTTTTTCCATTACATGCATTACATAGAGAAAGAGAGAGAGAGAGAGAGAAAACAAAAGAGCATGCAGATAGTAAGATGGTAAAGGAGGGAGAGAGAAAATTAAGTAATGGTGACACTGGCAAAACATCACATAACCAATTTCTCAGATTTGCGTTTATTAAAACTGCTCTACTTATGTACAATAAAAGCCACGAGAGTGCCAACGAATCAGTAAATAATTGTATTTCCATTCGCTGTCCCATGATTCAGTTAGCGCTTAACATATTTTTTATTATTAAACGCTAATCACTTTAATTCCAAATACCCTGCCAATCTAACAAAAGCTTGAGAAGAGTTTGTAAAATGCCATGAGCTAAATCTCAAAGTAGTAGTAAGAGAGATGCAAACGAAAGAAAACTTCCTGCATTAAAATTCGCCGGATAATTACTTCCGTAACATACCCTCCTTTCTGTTGAGGAGTGTTTAGGTTTAATAGTCTCTGTAAAGAAAATAGGTTTTATCTTCTTCTCATTTTCATTAATTCCTAATTGGGGTGGGGGTTGTCTGTTATTATTCCTTAGATTAAAATAAACATCGCCCATTGCATGTTCAAACTCATCTCACTACACGAGGGTGATAAGGACTGGGAATAAATAAACAATTTCTTCTTTGCTGTTGAAATTAAGTTGCTTAGAGCCTTAAGCTAAGCCACATTTTTTCCCCTTTTTGATGACTTAAAAGCACATTTTACCCAGCAAATGAAGTTCATTTTTTTGACCTGCTTTATATGTATATCTTTAATTAGTGTCTTGTTTAGCTTAAGCTAACTGATTATCACATAGACGTGACCTAATTAACAGCCAGGCTGCTGAACAGTGGTGTACCACCCCAAGGAATGAGAAAGTTACCTTTAAAACTTCTGTAATCATTAGCTGCAGCTTCACTTAATCCCACTAAACATACATTTTATCTCACAAGCTCTGAGTTCCTCTGCTGGGGAGGGTTTGTTGTCCCTTTCTCTAACAGCAGGATGTTTTAATCACTCGTAACATGTCTGTGCATCCATATAGGATATCCATTGTGAGAACGTGCTATTATTATTTGATATTACTATTTTTTATTTAGTTATATTCATACTTAATGGATGCCAAAGGATAACCAAAGTATGAAAACCTCATTAATAGTATTTGTTTTATATTAAACACGCTATAAATTAAGGTGGCTATTTGAACAGCAGTTGTCAGACCAATGCACAGAATGTGCTGCTAAGATTTACGCTGACATTGCTGCACTGCTATTGCATTTCATTACCTACTCGGCGCCTAACAACAACATAACAATAACCCATTTTATATCAACTGAAAGAAGCAACTGTTGAGAATATCAAAGCGCAAAAGCAGTCATTTCCTTTTCACTAGTTTTAGTGGTGGTTTACTGCATTAGCTGTAATTCGCTAACTATTGACTGGTAACTTTCAAAGCTCTCACTGTAACATATACATGACAAAAAGCTATTTCTGTGAGGTGTGAAAGCAGGTGCCTCATCTTTTCTTGGCAGAATTAACTAGCATGCTTATGCCACATATGTATTTGAACTTCTTGGTTTTGACATCTCACCAATTTACCTCCTAAGCGTTCTTCCTCAGTTGTCTTTTCCCACTGTGAAGTTGCACGCTTAGGGCTGTAATTCCCTTACTTTAAAGCTTTGATTAGCTAATTGCTATTTAAATGTATTGATTTAATAGAGCTTCAAGATCACATTCCATAAAAGTCTTATTTATAATCTATTTCTTTTCCTATGACAGAGAATTGACTTTTGAATTTCACTTTTTCTTTTATATTCAATAAAGATCTTTGCACACTGAAACCTGAAATGTCAATATGCATTTTTTTCACAATCATATGCAAAAAAATTGTCAGATAAACAAACCTTGCACACCGAGTCCGATGTGTATTAATCAATCCATTACGAGAAAACGCAAAACATTTCGGAGTCAGTTTGAGCAGTGATACGTTCTCCTCTCTTCTCCAGAGTAGAAACAGAAAGAGGAATAGGCTGCATTTTGTGTTCGTCCAATAGAGAGGAAAGAGAGTTCAGTTTATTATTAAAGAGCTGCGGAGGATTATCCCAAAGTTTATTTCAGGAAATCAGTGAAATTTTGATACATTGCTTGTTATACTTCACACATTCATGTACAATTGTAAACAATTCCTATTGTAAGACTGGCATATTATATGACATTTTAATAGATGGTGGCCGCATTAACGTATCAAAGCAACAGACCAAAATCGGTCCATGCTTTCTATTATATATATATATATATATATATATATATATATATATATATATATATATATATATATATATATATATATATATATAGAATTGCTTTTTGTTTGTATGGTGGCTCTGAACTGTCAAAACTCCTCTTAAATTATTTTTTCGGATTCGAAAAGCGGAAAAAAAATTACCCCGGTTTGATTTTTTTATGACAAACGAATATTTCGGAGACAGTGTTAGTACAATTCACACAACCTGAGGTTCAATTAATTTTTTTATGTGCGAAAATTACGTACAAAAATTTTGGATTTAGTGTGCAATAACCTTAACACTAGTTTAAGGACCAATTGTCATTTTCATTCACTCTTTTTGGCTTAGTTCCTTTATTAATCAGGGCTTGCCACAGCGGAATGAATCACCAACTTATCCAGCATATGTTTCACGCAGTGGATGCCCTTCCAGCTGCAACCCATCACTGGGAAACACCCATACACTCTCTTTCACACACATACAGTACGGACAATTTAGCTTATCTAATTCACCTATAGTGCATGTCTTTAAACTGTGGGGGAAACCAGAACCCGGAGGAAACCTACACGAACACAGGGAGAACACACAAACTCCACACAGAAATGCCAACTGACCCAGCGAAGGCTCGAGACAGCAACCTTCTTGCTGTGAGGCGACAGCGCTACCCACTGCGCCGCCCAATTCTCATTTTAAACAAGTTTTTTTTGTACTTATTAAGTAAATATTCTGCATAATCTAATTCTACATTGATAACCTATCCAATACTTAAACCTAATTACTACCCTAATAACTATTTATAATCAGCAAATTAAAAGTTTATTGATGCAAAAGTTAGATAATGGTTTGTAAAAAGAGAATCGTACCTTAAAATAAATTCTTACTGTTGTAAGTAGGTTTAATTTGCAGTCACATAAATCAAATGATAACTTCCCTACCTGAGGATGGAGAGGAAGGGTGGGGACTGTCATCCTGCACACTGCCTGTCTGGGAGTGTCCGCCTCCAGCACCACTTTCCTCTGTCACATTGGAGGAGCCTGGGGTAGTCGATCGGCTAATGGACTGAGATTCAGGGTCGCTAGCTGAGCCACGCCGTTCATCTAGAATGTGCTGGGAGCTGTCTTCTAGGGTTCGGCGATCCTTGTTGTGCACTCGAGAGTGGACCACCATTTGATGGTAGGTTCTGAAGACTCTGCCACAGTCAGGACACTCAGTTGCTTTCTCCTTTAGGCTGGCTAGGCTGTACTCAAGCCCTTGGCCCAGGCCTAGACCACCATGGTGAGGCAAGAACTCACGGTGACTATCAAAGGTTAAACCTTCATCTTTCAAGGGCATCATGCCTCCACTTGTCTTCACTCCATGAAGCACATCAGGATGTTGCTTCAGCTTGGAACCATCATTAGAGCCTAAGGTTGGGTGGTCAGGCTTGTCTTTACCAAAGGGAACAATCCCAGCTGCATTGGCAAGTTCATCTTCTTGTCCATGCACACCATGGTGCTGCTCTTTTGGCATGAAGGAGCGCTCCATTGCCATTCCACGTGCCATGATTTGCCAGGCTTGATAACTGTTTAGGGGGTCCATTTCTGCTACCTTAGCTGCAGCTTGCAAGCGCTCCATACAGCTAGACTTCAGAGGGGGCACTAGGTTCAGGCAACCTAAAAGTGATCGCTTTTCATTTTCCCCTAAGCCATGGCCCATGCTGGCCATTGGACTTAGGAGCTTTCCAAGCATCTCCTTCTCCTTCATAGCAATACCGGCTTTGGCCAGCATCTGGTGCTGCTGTTCAGCCAGGCCTTGTTTGTCGGGTGTGAGGAAACCACTTTGCAAACAAGAAATATAACGTGAATACAGGTTTGCATGAGCTTCTTGAGCAAGGCTGCTCATGCTGTTCACGGCGTGTCCTTCATCATCAGCTCCTCCACCAACAGGAGGCTTGCTCTTGATGGCCAGCTTGTTGAGATGCACCTTCATGTGATTCTTCAGGAACCAGGGCTCCTTGAAACGACGTCCACAGATCTGGCAGCAATGTTCAAAGGAGTCCTTGTGTTTCCGCATGTGGCCTTTCAGAAACCAAGCTTGACTAAAAACCTGGCCACAAACCTCACAGCGGAATTCATTGCTGGGTTTCTCTCCATTGCCAGCTCCTGTGCCCTGTCCCTGGGCTGATTCAGCGGTGATATGTGTTTTCTCCACATGGCTGATCAGGTCCTCCTCCTGTGAAGCAGCAAATTCACACAGGGTACATTTGTAGGGTTTGTGGAGAATGCGAATGTGGCGGTCTAGCTCCTCGCGCTTCTTAAATTTACCCTTGCAAAAAGTGCACCGGTATCCTTGGGCTGGATTGAGGGCTTGCTCATCTTGTAGGTTGTTAGAAGCAGGCTTAGGTGAGGCAGACGGCTGGGTCAGTCCCTCAGGTGAGTTACCAATACTGGTTGGAGTGAGCAGGCCACAGGCAGAGCCAGGCTGTTGTTGGCTATGAGTCTGGATACCCAAGTGGGGTGGAAGAGGTTGAGGTGGCTGCAGCAAGCTGTTCCTCATTTGCTTATCACGTAGAATGGCTCTCTCTTCAAGTTCATGAAGAAGCCTATTTTCCTCACGTACACGACCACGGCCCTTACCAAGATTTCCCAGCTTATGGGTGCGGAGGTGGATTTTCAGATTACCCTTCTGAGCAGCTCGGTGGTCACAATATGGACATTTGAAAGGCTTCTCTCCAGTGTGTGTACGCATATGAAGTGACAGAATGCTGTTGAAGCGGAATCGCTTGCCACAAAGAGGACAGGGATATTTGCGGTTCTTGCGTGCATCATCTTCAATATCATTCATCTGAGACATGATTCCTAAATTCTGTCCATTGAGAAATTGTTGCAAATCAACACGGCCATTGAGACCACTCAAGGCGCCCACATCCATGTCACGATTGAGCTGGTTGGCCAGTAAGGCCATCTGGCTGCTGATTGGCTGACTAGCTAAGGCAGCATGGGTTTTCTCATCCAGTGGGGTTGCTGCCTTTTCCTCTGGGATCTGCTGGCGACTCTGTAGTTCAGGAAAGGCATGACCCAGCTGAGCAGTCAGCTGATGCAGTTTCTGACTGATTGGATAGCGGCCGTTAAGTACTGCGTTGCTAAGATGGGTGTCAGCATCTGAGACCACCGAGGATACACCAAGGCACAAACTAGAGTCCTCCATCCTAGAAGACAAAAGACACAGAAACAGGTACTGAGTACACTATTCAAAGGCAGGCAGTCAACAAACACCTCCTTATAGCCCTAAGGCACCACTAATACACTTATTGTATTATCACTGTGCACAATCAACAGGAAATACTGTACAGTACACAAATGAAAGTAAAATGATACATGAAACATCAAGTACACGGTAACAGATATCAACAATGGAAGTAAACGTGCAATGGTTTGGACAGAACAGGTTGCAGCACACATCTTAACATAGCTATTGTCTAAAAGCTATTCCTGAAGAACACCCACTCTGCTATCAGATTTCATGTAAAATAAAGACCTTTCTCTTAGAATTTTTGAGATACTGTATAGTGTGGTGAAGGTCATATTTCCAAGTTAAATAGCAACACAGCGTCAAGTCTGTCTTAGACATTAGCACAAACACAAAGCTTTTTCATTTCTTCTGAGGTGGGGGTAGGTAGAGAAACAAAACAGATGAAATACTATTTTGTGAGAATCTGCATCTCAGATTATATACAGCATTGTCTGGCAAAAGAAATCACACCATACGGCAGTTAATTCAGTTAATTCTTGAGTACCCCTTTGTGTGTCAGCAATCTGAGTATGGTGTGAGGAAATGGTTAACAACGATGACTGCACTTCAGTGACAAGTGTGAAGAAAAAAAAAAGAGTGAGTTCATCTCCCTCTGATTTATGAAGTACTACATGTACTCTCACACTTGGGGAGAGAAGCTGCAACTCTCAGAACTTTTTCTCAAACAGTAACACAATTTTGGAGGCAATAATTACCCAGTAAACACGGCAAGGCGCCGCATAATTAAGCTACTTGGTCCCATCCTATCAGAATCCCTCCAATTACACGCCTTAATGAAACGGAGCAATGGTATTGTCATGAAGCCGCCGCAATACTACAATTATGATATTAACAATAGCACTTAAAACCAAGGGGTTACTCCAGTAAACACAAGCCCTTATCTCACTGCTGCGACACTTGTCTTGGCGTAATTTTCCATTAAGAGGCACATTACGTTTGATGCAAATCATTCAGTGTTCACCTTCTTTTTTCTCCCCCTCTCTCTGTTCTCTCACTCTCGTATGGCTTCCGATGAGAAGAAAACAACAGTTGGCGTTATTGAAAGGGTTCCCAAAGTATCAGAGGCTTCCCAGTTATTTAAAATGGCCACAGAGTGGCCCAATGAACTGTCAGACTAAAACGAATAAATGAGCAGTGCCTGTTGTCATCTGGATTGCTAGTGCTTATTTAGCATGCTGCTCACCTTCTTAAGGAAGGATAATGATGTTGCTGCATTCCCCTGCAACTGACAGGGTCAAGCTTCAGAAACAATAAAGTGAGTTTTGCTTTGGTCAACAAAATATTGTATAATATCTCATTAAGCTGATTAGTATGCTGCCTGGTAACAGTGGCTATGCGCTTTAACACACGATTATGAACGTGAAATAAATGCACTGTGGTCATTTTAACAAAAGACAATGGCAAGAACAGGTGTTCAGCAAACTGTCTCTAGAATGATGGAGACAAGAGCTTTGCCTTTTTTCTGAATTATTTGGAAACACAAGCTGGTTTGTGTCTATTACACCCTCATCGCCTGAGGAAAAGTAAAGTGTTCTGAACTGGGGAACTCACACCCTTTGGTCATTAATAAACCTTTTTAAATGGTGCAGATTGACCCAGTTTGCTTATTAGAGAGAGACTACCTAATGACTCAGCACCTGAAATCTATGGGATGCTGACACATTATAATTCACTTTTCTCATTGCACTATGAAAGGTTCTGTACATATTTTTTTGCATGACCCAATGCACAAAATAACCCAATAACTGAAAAAACCTTACGAATAAATGATTTCTTTGTTGACAAGCATCAGCTATTCCAACAGCCATTTCGAGGAACCTATTGGTCTGATACAAAAAAGTGCACAAATACACAAAGACCAACCAGACAAACACACACACACACACATACAGTCTACAGTGGAAGGCAGTGGGCTTGCAGCACATATTTGCTGATGCTCTCATAAGAACTCTAATAAGGGCCGCCTGTTCTTTAGCTATTTGCTCTTCCTACGCCATGTCGGTTGCAGTCTTATCTCTCCAACATGAATAAAAAACACTGAGGCCACTTCCAGTCACTGCTAAACACACTGTGGGCTGTTGCTGAATGCCAGTCCTCTTTTGTCCAGAGCTATAACTCCGAGGAATTTAAAAGAAAAAAAAAAATGCTGGAATCTGGACGGGAACAATGCACTGTAGGTGTATTATGTATTTAAAGACTGGGTGTGTTATAAACACACTCACGCGTGTAGGCACGTGCGCTGCAAATTATACATGGCTAAGCAGTTCTTTGAGGATTTTTGATATTCAGCAAAATGTAATACAGGAGTAAATGCAAGACAAATATAAATCACAGACGCTTCGCTCTGCTTGGTCATCTAATTAAAGCAACGGTCTTCAGACAAAGGCCCAAAAATGCTGGGTGATGTTTGGGTTCAGCGTGATGCCTTCTAACTTCGGACTTTCTTTCGCTAGCGAGTTGTTGAAATTGCTTTTGTCGACATCCTGGCAGAAATCAGACGAGGCCTTTTTTGAATCTGGCTAGCATGCCTTCTGCAATGGAAATCTATGATTTAAGCGAGGCATGATGAGCAGTTGCTCATTTGGAGAGATAACTGCTTGCCCTTTTCTTCAATTTGATTTCCTTCTTTATCTTTACCATATAACAAAGGCAGATAGACAAAGGAACAATGTGAAATGAACTGACGAATTCAGTTTGTTTTTGAACATAGCCTTGCCTGACGACTGTATGCAAATTAAGTGCATTAATATGCCTTCCTTGCTCCCAAGTCATTTCATTTTTTTTTTTCTGATTAAAAAGGACATTTCATATGGTTAAAGAGGTGTCACACACACACACAAATACTGCAGAGGCAGACAAAGTATTAAGTTAATACGTGAACGCAGATGCCTGACATACAAACCCCCGTAAACAATAACACACACAGTCTGCAGTATTTTAAAGAGCATCTATAAATAAATAAAGAAATGAATACATTAATAAATAAATGTGATACTGGGAATACTTTAGGGGGGCATCACAACGGAACAATTATCAGTAAAGTGCATATTTTCCACAGTATAATTAGCAGAAACTCCAAGCCAAAAGCCTTATCTCAGACGAAACAAAGTCATTAAAATCTTAATACATCTGCTCTTAAACATCACCACGCTTAATGCGTATCTGAAAATGCCTCCGAACCAAAACTTGCAGAGCGGCAAACACATTTTGCAAGACGTTTTGTCAAAAAAATGCATACAGTTTGATTTAAATTCAGATGAAAGATGTGCAAAGAAAGAAAGAAGCACTCTGTCCTGCATTATTTCCATTTGACGCTTTATTTTCAACGATAGCTAGAACCCCATTTTAAACAACCCACTTCAAAAATCAGCAGCACATTTAAAGTTTCAGCATTCTGCTTTCAGTATTTCCTCAGCAACGCATGCATTTGTAGGATGCCTTGCAAAGTTCCACCGCCTATCTTTTCTCTGTTAGAAATGCTAATGTCTCACCTATTTGGATCAGTGCCATTGAGTCGTGGCCCACAGCATGTAGGCCTGACAGCAAACACGGTGGTGGCTCCTTGTCCCAGACCCCGTCCCTCGTCTTCCCCCTCCTCTCTCTCTCTCTCCAGGCTGGGGCAGCTGGGTTAGCCAGGAGCTAGACGAAACGATCGAGTCTCAGTGGCCTGATACTACCTGTCACACGTAGCGTAACAGCAGCAGCGTGCTCTAATTAACGCGTGCACCACCGCCGTGTCTCTTGAAAAGCCACTGAGACTTCCTTTAGTGCACTGTCACACAGGGCCCAGTGGCATGCAGCTTTACAGTCTGTGGTTAATACTCAGCCTTTCAAGCAACATGGCAAAACAACCGGATTTATGTCTTATCTTTACCTCACTTTACATCACGTTTTGTTCCATTTTGCAAGCTCTGCAAACCACATCTTAATTCGAGGGTGCAACTGCCACCATCATCAGACTACTGTCCTGCTTTATGCTTATCTTAAGTTTGTCAAGCAGAGCTCTTGTTTTAACACCACTCATTGTGTGATTTATGCCTTAGCATTACATGTTAAGCATATAACAGGATGTCATTATGAGAATAACACAGAAACCCTTTGTGGCAAGTGCGATGCAATTGGCATGCGTGATGCACCAATGTTAAACAAAGGTGTATCTAAGATATTTGATCTGATTGTGGTTTCTGCAGTATAAGCACTGCAGAGTGCATGAATTTGTTCTGCATTATCTGTCATTTCGCCTTTTAGGAGGGCCACGCTCTGATTTGGGGACGTCAAGGTGAACGGCCTATGTAGCAACAAAATATTACATTAAACTTGAGGTAGCTGCGAGCGCTCATGTCCTTGAGCTGGTTCTCTAGTGGCTTCTCGCAAATCAACATGGAGGGCAGAATCAAGGTTCCGTATAAAACACACATACACACCCACACAACACGCAAGTCAACTTCAGCCTTGAACAGACCCTGAACAAAGAGTTTTTAAGAGTACAACTAACCTCAAAGAGGACATAAAACCCATCTAATCCTTAAATGTTCTAGATTACACAGCATGTTGGAGCTCTAAATCAAATAACACAGAGCAGATCTGGCTCTTTCGGGCTTTGCGTCTTGATGTAACATAATTTTGCTGTCCTTCTGCATCCTTGTTTGGGAAAAGTATGTGTACATTTACTGAAAGCGGCTGGTTTCAAGGGAGGAAAAGAAATAAGGAGGGGGGGGAGAGAAAAAAAGTCAAAGTGTTCGCAAGTTGAAATGAAAATAAAAATATAGATTGGAAGACCATTAGCCGCTCTGTTATTGTGAAGCTCTATCGACCAAAATCCATTGACTAATTACTATGCAGTAGCTGATTAATTAATTATGGAAGAGGTCATCGCTATTGATAAATCAATCATTA